CGTGGGTCAGCTGTGTGCAAGGCAAGGTCCTCCCCACTCTGCCATCTCAGCAGCCGCGCACCCTCGACTCCGTCCCGTGCTCCTCTGTCTCCTCCTCTCTCTCCCACGCTTCTGGAAGCTGGGAGGACGCTCCGGAGACTCAAGGAGACAGAGGCTCCGTCTGGGGGAGGAAATTCCAGAGCCGGTGAGCTGCAACGGGAGGGCCCCAGACGAGGGGACTGTAAGTAACGGCCCTCGTTTTCAGCTAAATCACCCATGTTCACAGGGTCAATCCATCCATCAGAAAGTGCCTCATCAGCGTGTTTCCGACAGCCTCAGCTGCTGCTGATCGCTGCTCACATCCATATTTCACCAGGAGATGAAGAATGGTGATATCCGAAGCCAATCACCAGTCCTTATTTATGAGTGGAAACACTTCTCTAAAGTAATTGCTCCCCCTGAGTGATTGTTTACTGAGGGACGTTCAGGGAAAAGGGCTGAATTCCTTCCCGTCATTTATCAGTCATCCAAATAACAGGGCGGTCCCCTCGAAGCCTCAAAAAATCACCCCCAAGGGGCCGGGGCGCGGGCACGGCAGGTAGGGCGCTTGCCCTGCACATGCCCGACCAGGGTTCTATCTTCGGCATCCCCTATGGTTCCCCGTGCACTGCCTGGAGCGACTCCTGAGTGCAGAGCCAGGAATAACCCCTGAGCACTGCCAGACGTGGCCCACAAAACACAAAACAGACAAAATCACCACCAAAGAGGAGGGCCAAGCAAACAGCACAGCAGAGAAGGCCTTGGACACAGCCGACCCGAGTTCGATCCCCGCCACCATGCGGGATCCCTAGCCCCGCCAGGAGTGACCCTGAACACAAAGCCAAGACTAAGCCCCGAGCACCACCAGCTGTGGTCCAAAACCATAAAAGTAAACGCATCGCCAAAAAACTATTTCTCTCACTTACAGCACAAACGTATTCATACTTAGTCTTGTTTATTGGGGATGGGGGGTGGGGGCCTCACCCTGGACTCTCTCTCCAGCCCGAGAACTTACAAATGTTAAATATATATACATAAGGTCTCTCAAGCAGTTGCGGGCATTTTTCCTCTTATGTGGGCCACGCTGTCCTGTTCCGTCCCCTTCTGGCTCTATCAGGGTCCTCTAGAGGTGCAGGACTCGCGGCAGCAGCACCCACCGGCCCTGGAAGCCGCCTTCCCTCTAAGGGGTTCTGACTCTCCCAGCGCGAGTGCAGACGCCAGGTCACCCTGCGGCCATCTGCGCAGCTGCACCTGAGTCTGCAGGGGCCAGAGCCAGAAAACACGGCTTCTGTGAGAACACACACCCGGGGCGAAATACTCATCACTGCGGTGCTACACCAAACTTAGGGTTTCAGTGTTGTATTTTACTGCTTTGATGTTTATAGTCGTATCTTTTTTTTTTCCACTTTCACAGAGAATCTAAATCACTGAAAATGAGAATACCGAGGCCAGAAACACAGCCAAGGGCTGAGTATGTGCCTTGCGGTGTCAGGGGCAGCGGGGAAGCACGGCTCTCAACTGACTCCACTTCCCCTGCTTTTCTCCAGCTGTGGCAAGGGGAAGCTGGAACTCTAGGATGCAGAGTCCCAGGCCCCAGGCCCCGCCCCATCCCTCTCTGTCCACACGCTCCAGGCACCCGGAATTCAAGTGAACACATGGTAAGATAAATGATCCAGTTCTGAGAGAACTAGTTGGGGTTTTTTTACGGACCTTTCTGTTTTGTCTGGCTTCAACTTTTCACTGGAAAAAAAAAAGTCGTTCCTCCCCAACGGAGCAAATGGATTCATTACCGAAAATATGTGAACATCAACATAGGGCTCTTGTATTATGCACAGTCAAAGGCATTCCATTTTTTTAAAAATCCTGTCAAGTTTTAAAAATGAATTAACGTCTCTCCATTGATGGAATCAATCAATATTCACAGAGATAGACCTGGTTTGGTAGGTCAAGAAGATCCCTAATTGGGGGCTGGAGCAATTAATACAGGGGGGTTGGGCATTTGGCCTGCACACACACGGCCTGGGTTCGATCCCTGGTATCCCATACGGTTCTCTGAGCACCACGAGGAGTAATTTCTGAATGCTGAGCGAGGAGTAACCCCTGAGAATTGACAGGTGTGGTCCCACCTCCCCCATAACTATAATTAGCAGAAACCACTACAATAAAACAACTCTGCTGGAGATGGACCATGACTCCGTCTCTAATTTATATGCTGGAATCAACTTCCAGTGTAATGGGGCTAGGGGCAAGCCCTGAGAGGGGACCGAGCAGTGCAGCCAGTGCCCCTCTACAGAAAAAAAACCAGAAGTCTACAGCCCTGCCAGAGACTGGGGACATGGTGGGGAAAACTACGCTGGGCCCAGGCAGACGCTCTGCCGGCGCCCTCACCCTGATCTGCACCTCAGCAACCCAGCAAATCTCTCCACCCATATGCCACCCTGCGTGTGCCACCCAGCAGTGGCAGGAGTGATCGCAGACAGGCCCTGCAGGATTCCAGCTTGCTGCCAATCAGGACTAAGATGACAAAGACGCCTGGAGCTCGTCTCTAGACTCAGGGAGCTCTGACAGTCAGCCCCGACCAGAGACGCACAGACAGCGGGGTCCCGGCCACCATCCACATGGCGGGCTGCGGCTGGCTCTGCCCTCAAGGTGCGGGGACATGATGGCATTGGGGCGGCTGCTGCCCTCCCCCCACTCTGCTCAGGGTGTACGCCCGTCTTCACTCACATCTCAAATGTTAAAAATGAAGCACCCAAATCCTTGACGGAAATACTTAAAAGCAGAAAATGCAGTTGGATTCAACAAGAAGTTCCTGGCTAGTCAGGTACGACGCCCACTGATACACCTGGACCAGAGCCAACATGAAAGTGAAGCTATTTGGAGTCACAGGATCCAAAGCAAGACTGACAATACCCACCTTTGTGCCTTCTTCCTCATGGTCACAGCCTGGAGGAAAATAAGGACAATGTCCCCCTCAAAGTCCAGTTAAATTGGGTTACGAGAGAAATACGGATAAAAGGAAAGAAATGTTTTATTGAGAGGCTAGAGTGATAGCACAGTGGGTAGGGCACTTGCCCTGCATGTACCCAACCCATGTTTCATCCTTGGCCCTACACATGGTCCCCTGAGGGGCTGGAGCAATAGCACAGCAGGTAGGGTGTTTGCCTTGCACACAGCGACCCAGGTTCGATTCCCAGCATCCCATATGGTCCCCTGAGCACCGCCAGGAGTGATTCTGAGTGCAAAGCCAGGAGTAACGCCTGAGCATCGCCGGGTGTGACCCAAAAAGCAAAAAAAAAAAAAAAAAGAAAAAGAACATATGGTCCCCTGAGCTCCACCAACAATGATCCCTGAGTGCAGAGTCAGGAGTGAGCCCTGAGCACAGAGCCAGAGTTAGCTCTGAGCGAAAACCAGGATCGAGTCCTGAGCAGAGAGCTAGGAATAAGCCCTCAGCACCACAGTGTTGCCCCATACCAAAAATGATTGATTAGGGCAGGGGCAAGGGTGGCAGGTATCAAATACAGGGTTTCAGGCTTGAAGCCACTGTACCGCTGAGCCACAGAGAGACATTTTAAAAGAAATCCCAGAAGAGGGCCAGAGAGATGCTCGCTGGGCTGCAGCATGTGCTCGGCACGCAGGAGCTGGGGCTCCACCCTGGGCTCCACAGTTTCCGAGCACAACCAGGACCAAGCGCAACTGAATGCCACGCTAGGAACAGCCCTGAGCACCTCCAGGTATAGCGTTGGAACAGAAAAAGCAAACAAAACAAAAAACTTTTTTTTTTAGATGCTAGAATGATAAGCTAAAAATAAGGAATGTTATTGATACACATGCCACCAAAGTTTTATCAAATCCAATTAGGAATTTTAACCCAATATGTTGTTGCTTTGGGGCCACGCCCAGTGATGCTCAGGGCTCACTCCTGGCTCTGTACTCAGGGATCACTCCTGGGAGTTCTCAGGGAACCAAATAGGACAACAGGGATGACACCCAGGTTGACCACGTGCAAAGCAAGCACCCACTGTACTGGTAATCTAAGACAAAAAAAAAAAACAATAATTTAAGACATCAAAGTATTAAGATGTTCCAGGATCTACCAAGACTCTTAAAACCCGGTATTATTCTCTGGGACCCGAAACAATATTACATGTGTGTGTGTGCGTGTGTGTGTGTGTAAACACACACTGTGGCACTCAGGGACTACTATTACGTGTGTGTGTGTGTGTGTGTGTGTGTGTGTGTGTGTGTGTGTGTAAACACACACTGTGGCACTCAGGGGCTACTACTCCTGATGTGGGGTTTGAGGGTCCCCCTACTGGGACTCAGGGAGCCCTATGGCACCACATGCTCACTCCACCACCTCTCTGGCCCTCCGATAGAATCTTCTTTAAAGTTCTCTGCAAAGTCATGTTTTTATTCGCCAGGATGGTCCACCATACACCAATCTGAGGGCCCAGAACTCACACACCTACATATATTGTCTCGTTTTCACCAGAGGCCGTGGAGGTCTTTAATACACCAGAAGCAGACACCCAGAGAACGCAGAGCACAGCGGTGGGGCAAGGGCACACCTGGAGCCTCGACCTTCACCAGACAAAAAGGCGAGAAGGCAAATCACGGCCCAGAAACTCAGAGCGCTGACTGGGGCATAGGGTCCTAAGTTCAAATCCCTGGTACCCACATGCGCCGAGCCCAATCCTGGCTGCTCTCCTGCCCGTGAGCCCCGAGGTCGGGAGTGCTCCCCACACACTCCACAGCCAAGCACGCAGAAGCACCTTCCAAATAAGGGTGCAGATGTGTGTCACAGCCAGAGAGTGTGACCCCTCGGGGCCTTGTGTGTGAACACAACAGGGATCCATGGGCCTCAACTAAGAAGGCGAACCCCCAGGACCACAGGCGGGCAAGGGTACAACCCGGTCATCACGACGACGACAGCGAAGGGAGCAGAGAGAGGAAGGAACCACTCCCCGAGGAGCTATTACCTGCTGAGCCGTAGTGTCCTGCTGCACATAAGTTACCTGGCCCGGGTCTGTAAACAGAGTCTGGACAAAAGAAACAAACCAAAAAAAGTTACCGGCAGATCTTTGGACAGTCACACGGGAAACTGTTTCCTGCTAAACACCAATTCTCAGGAGAGTTACCTTCCAGATGGCTACTAATGACCCTTCATTAATACGAAAAAGATAAAGATAATGGTCTTACATTTTAGCTAAAGCCTTCTAGTCTCAGTGTTCCCTGGACACTGGCTATCTCAGGGGCCCACAAACGTCATGACTTGACGCTTAAGCCAAAGCTCTCTTGAGGTCGCGCGTCAGCAGGAATGGGAAAGGCAGCTGGGGTGGGGAGACGGCACGAGAGCACAAGCCTTCTTGGGCTCATCCCTGGCATTGCTAGAACGTCAGAGAAATAAAAAGGCACGCCTGGAAAACAGAGAAGCCATGCCACGGATGAGGGGGTGTGGGTCTCACAAAACCTGGGGCTGGAGAGAGAGTGCAGCGGGTGGGGCGCTTGCCTTGCATGCGGCCGACCCAGGTTCAATCCCTGGCGTCTCAGGTGGTCCCCCAAGCACTTCCAGGAGGAATTCCCGAGTGCAGAGCCAGCAGACATCCCTGAGCATCACTGGGTGAACCCTTCTTCCCCCCTCAAAAAAAAAAAAAGTCCAATCAATGAAACTGAACGACAGAGATGAGACACACACGGAGTTTCTCTGTGCAGGATTATTATAGCGCTTTCCAATATAAATGCACACTCGCTGTCAGAAAAAAGGGAGGGGACAAACCTACTGAACGCAAGGCCCCACGAATTCTCTTTCGGAGAAAGACCCCACGTCACCATTTTTACAAGTTATCATTATTAAAAAAAAAATGTTATGATCTGGGTCATGATATACCAAAAGTAACTAGAAAAGGGAAAAGTATTCCAAATTACTTCAGCCAGGTCCCAGTTTTCAGAAAACCTCCACTCCTGAAAATTAATCTTTCCTCTAAGATTCTGTAGATTTCCATCCGGCCAGGCCTTACACAGAGCTGTAGGGCTAAGAACTACGGTTTTGATTCCAGAGGAAGATAAAAAGGACCCTCAGCCTTTTGGATGGACAGACGCAACATAAAAATGATCCTCGCCTTCATTCCTGGGTTCTGGCACATGCAAAAGAGAAAAAAAAAATGATCCTCGCTAAGCTATGCAGGAGCACAGTAATTAACTGAAAGTTGAGTAGGGGATGCGCTTGGAGCTCTCCAGTCTGGCTGCGACGTGATTAAGGGAGCCAGACCAAGCAGATGCCCTCTAGCTGGGTGGCACTTCCATCGCGACGCAGACCTGAACAATATTTATTAGGCGCATCCCACTTCTTGGGACGACTGAAGCCTCGTGATTAAATATTGAACAGGGGCAAAATTTCACCCAAATATGAAAACTGGTTATTGTTGTCTTTGTTTTGTTTTTAAATACAGCCTAAAATGCGCTGTACAATGCAAACTGCTAGGTAGAGAGACAACCATTTAGATCCTGGGCAACACTGTGTCATACAGACGGAAAGGAATGCTCCAAGTCACCAGCAGAAAAGTGAAACAGGAGCGACTGTGACCGCAGTCTCGACCTCTGCTTCCTTCCAGAGTCCTTCCATGTGGGCCAATGCATCATTAATAATAAAGAGAAGCAAGCGAGCTAATAGGCTCCTTCGCTAACGCGCGCCAATAAAATAATCTCCGTATTTTCAATGATCCAACTCTGATCACTCTGATCAGAACAAGAGGCCGTTTGGGGCCTGGTTCTGATTCTCAGGAAAAGGGACATGTCAATCATCTGACAAACGGCCAGTGGGAAGGACTATCAGGAAGCCAGAGCTCACACTCGTTCCATTTCATTTCTGGGAAGTCCCTTCCTGCGCCACAGTGGCCAGCACGGAGTGGTCACGTGCTTGGGGCACGGTGAGTGGGAGTCCCAGAAAGGGCCCCGATGAAGGAACCGAGAGAAAACAAGCATCCGTCACATGCCTGCGCAGCATCCACGGGATGGATGTACACCAGCGTGTGCTCCGGCCCATCCACGGACGTGTAGGAGGCGCCGTCAGCCGTGTACACCACCTGCTGGGGTGGCCGGACCTGGTCATCAGTGTAGACGATCTGGGCCACGGTCCCAGCCTCCGGAACGAAGTGTACCTGGAGAGAGAACAGCGAGTGTGGAGCGAGCATCCCAGCCAGACGATGCCTGCCCTGCCTGACCATGCCCGGGCCTGTGTGCACCTGACGCCTGCCCCTGGCTGCCAAGAGGCTGGTGGTCTCTGACTAAGCGAGTGAACGCCTCAAGGCCAGAACAGAGCACCTTGTCACGGAGTCGCTGTTCTGTACCTGCCGCGGACTGACAGTCCGTCTGACGCCAAGGACTGGTGCAGGACTGGGGCTGAAAATGTGACCCGTAGGCAACAAGGCTGACATACAGGGACAGATCTTCCTATTTCATGGCCAAGCCAGCCGCTCTCAACTATCATACCTGCTCGACTTGGAGACCCCTGCCCACAGCGGCCATAGGGAAACAAGGCCAACTCCTGACCTCCAAGTCCGGCTGTTTGCCATGGCAACGAAGGGAACTGAGCTGGTCCTCTCCAGTTAGGTTTAAGCACAGGATATTCAAAGAAAGTGCTTTTAAGGGATTCTTGAACAATGATTTCAGTTGTCACTGAAGAAATAATTTCCTATCTACAAGAATGCCAGTAGAAACAGAATTCTGTAAGGTATTTTCGAGACAGCTGGCTCTAGAAATCTGAGTTCTTGATGGCTGAGACTTGGCACAGAGCCTGATGCCGGATACTGGCCCTGTGGAAGCAGATGGTCAAGGGCACATTTGGGAGAGAAATAAATGATGTGCTAATAGGGAATACTGGACTCTTCCACTCTCCTGATTTTGGACCGAACTTTCTAATTTCCATGTTCGTCAGTGGAGAACAGTGGACCCCCAAAATGATATGAGTTGATTCCATCAGCAGAAAAAGATCTGGAGACTAAATGCACTCAAGCATCACAGAAAACCAAACTAGGGCTGGAGAGAGCTCAATGGGCCAGGTGCAAAGACTGCTTTGCAGGCAGGAGGGCCAGGCCCAGGTTCAATCTCCAGCACCTCACATTCGCTGAGGACAGGGTCAGGATTTGCCCCGTGCGTACTGAATGCGATCCAAGAAAACGTCCACTTCTATATTAGGTAATCAGTGTGGTATCGACATAGATTTGCATTGTCTGTGAAGATTCAGCTCGGAAGGAGGCAGAGAGTCTATCTGCACAGTTCTAATTGCAGCAAGGTGATGCTGTGAGCTTCGAGTTGGTCGTTAAAATCAAAATCTTGCAGTTTCCAGAGCTTTTGAAAAAATGAAAAAGGTTTCCCGCAAAGAACTTATCCGAGGCTTTCAACCTAGTCCTCATCACCCAGTGTTCTGCTTTAGCAGAATTCCTGGCCAGGATGAGCAGCTGGAAAAAGGGAGTATGTGAAGGGATGCTGGGTTCTGCCTCCTGCTGGGAGCCCTCAAGGGGGAAGCCTTTTTTCTCATGGACTCCATTGTGATCATAAACAAAACACACCCAAGACGTAAAGCTGCAGGGGCAGTAGGTCCAAACTGGTTCCCGTGAGAAACAAGACTGCCTCAAGGTTCTGCTGGAAGAACCTTTAGAACTTTTCTTTTCAATATGTTCTGAATCATACTTTTAAGTCGCACCAAGGAATCACTTGTGTTTACTGTAATATTTATTATATTGCTTAAAATAAGTGTGCACATTTAAATTTTCCAACATTAACTTCCTGATTAACCTGCATCTATGTAAATCAATGGAAAACTGAAATTACACACTTATTATATAAGACATGTCATTAAAAATTACATTTTAGGTTCGGGGATCCATCTAGTTCACAGGTTAAGCCCACACTTTGCAGGTCGAAGGTCCTGGACTCAATCCCTGTCCCTCCATTCCAAAAACAGCGTCAAGTAGGGCTGGAGAGATAACACTGCAGGGAGGGTGCTTGCCCTGCTTGTGGTTGACATGGATTTGATTCCAGGCATCCTATGTGGTCCCCCGAGCAGGAGTGATTCCTGCATACAGAGTCAGGAGTAACCCCTGAGCACAGCCGGTTGTGCCCACCCACCTCTTCCCCAGATTTTTTTAAATATAGCATCAAGTTTGGTCCCTAAAGAATGGCTCCAGGGGCTGGAGCAATAGCACAGCAGGTATGGTGTTTTTTCCATGCAAATGGCCAACCCGGGTTTGATTCCCAGGATCCCATATGGTCCCCCAAGCACCACCAGGAGTGATTCCTGAGTGCAAAGCCAGGAGTAACCCCTGAGCATTGCCGGGTGTGACCCAAAAAGCAAAAAAAAAAAAAAAAAGAAGAAGAAGAAGAATGACTCCAGGTAACTGCTGCTCCTTCCCAAAATTCAAATGTGTACCCCACAAGAAGGAATTTGCTTTTGCTGAGAGGAGTCACACACATGCTGGTTCTCTGGGTGGTTCCAAGCAGAGGTTGGCAACGACAGCACAGCCTTGGAATTAAGAACGGAGCCCAGAGCTGAAGACACAGCAAGAACGTGTAGTGACGGGTACACGCTGGGAATCAGGAGGAAACACCCCTCACTTCACACTCGCAGAAGTAAAAACCTGTCCTGAAGTACGGAGAAGGAATCTGAGGCTTCCACTGCCGCCGCATTAAGGAAAACTGGGTCAGGAAGTGGAGCGCCAGGTGGCCAGTTTGCAGTCCTGCTAACTCACGCGCTGCAAGCCCGCCCCTGCCCTGCTGCAGGCTGTGTGCCCCTACAGATGCTGCCGACTCTGGTGGCTGCCCAGTGTCCCCGTAGGAACAGTGCCTGGAGCCAGGGCGGGCAAGCCCGTGCTCACCTGCGCCGTGCTGCCTTCGTGCTCTGCAGACGGTGGCCACACATGGGAACCTTCGTCTTTGGCGTCCATCCTTCCCTCGACGGTGCCACCACCGGCCCCTAGTGCAGCGCAGGGCGGGGGCCGGTCATCTGTCCACCACGCGCCTGTTCATGAAGGGCAAAACGCCTCTCTGTCACGTGCCTGGGGAAAGGTCAGAAGAACCGATGTGAGATGTGAGACAGACTAACATGTTCGAATTATGGTTTCAACCACAGAGGGGCTTAGGCGGGGTTTTGTAGGGCCCAAAGGAACAGAACACGGGTTCAGAGTACCTGCCTTGCAAGTGCATGGTCATGGGTTCAAACCCTCTGCATCCACCATGCACCCCACACGATCCTCCCAGTGCTGCCGCCGGCCATCCCGGGCACCTGACAGCATCCGCCTGCTCCACCGCCAGATGAATGTGAGCATCGCAGAATGACTGTGAGCACTCAGTGAGCACTGTGAGATGCGTGGGCACCAGGCAGGGAAGTCAAAGACTAACTGTGTGTCTCAACTAAGAGTGAAAGCCCCAGCCGGCACGGGGCAGTGGCAAGTCTGGCCTTAAGAATCCAAGGCTGAGATGACCAAGAAGAGGGAGGGGGGGTGGGGGGTTAGATTAGAGGTGACCAGGGGCTGTGGTGGAGGGTCTTGGGTACTTGAGTCCTAGTTAAGGGGCACTGCACATTGACATCAGCGTGTATTATAACCATGCCACTTGGACTACAATAAAAATATAAACTGATGAAAATATGACTTTGCAGACCTCGACACCCAGGATAGCTGGCCAGGAGAGTCGGTAATAAGGATGGTCAAAGCAGCCACAACTGCTGTTCCCCCTCATTTTACAATACTATTAGTGAAAAAGGGACTGGAGCGATAGCACAGTGGGTAGGGCATTTGCCTTGCACGCGGCTGACCCAGGTTCGATTCCTACATCCCTCTCGGAAAGCTTGGCAAGATACCGAGACTATCCCACCCACATGGCAGAGCCTGGCAAGCTCCCCACAGCATATTCAATACGCCAAAAACAGTAACAACAAGTCTCACAATGGAGACGTTACTGGAGCCCACTCGAGCAAACTGATGAACAGGAGGACAGTGCTATTAGTAAAGAAGGTCCTAAATGGTCAAATCTCTCCTTCCAGATGTGTTTGGAGCCCATGGTTTAGAATGCCCAGCTGGGAGAATTTATTCTTGAATATATCATCATTGCGACCTACAGAGTTTCCACAACTACTGAACTGTTCCAGATGTTGGTGTGTCACCCTGCAACTGGCTGCCTAACAACTGGTTCAAGAAAAGGAAATTCTAAGCCTGACTCCACAAGTAAGTGGGTCATGTGACATCCTCCTGCATGGGGCCAGAGTGAGGATTCGAGGCTGAGGCTCTTGCCGTGCATGAGACCAATCCTGGTTCAGTCCCTAGTGACACACGGTCCCCCCAGCACCAGTGGGAGCAGCCTCCAGCACAAAGCCAGAGTATTTCCTGAGCACGAACTTTTGGGGCATGACCCCAAAACCAAAATATACTTATGTGCGTGTGTGTGTGTGCGCGCGCACGCACGCGTGCACATGTGTGTGTAAATCTTCTAGTTATTCAGCACCTGTACCCAAGAAAGGGGAGGATAAATGGTTTCTGATGTCTGCTTAGGTTTAAGCTTAAATGAGAGGCACCAGAAGAAAACACCCACAGACTCTGATTTGGGGGCCACACCTGGCAGTGCTTAGGGGACCATCAGGGGATCGAACCTGGGCCTTCAGGGCTGGAGTGATAGTACCGTGCGTAAGGCATCTGCCTTGCACGCAGCTGACCCGGGTTTAATCCCTGGCATCCCACATGTTCTCCTTTGAGCATCTCCAGGAGGAATTCCTGAGTGTAGAGACAGGAGTAACCCCTGAGCATTGCCAGGTGTGACCTCCCCCCCCCCCCAAAAAAAAAAAAGAAAAGAAAAAGAAAAACGCCTTGGTCTTCAGCAAGCAAAGCAAGGCTCCAGCTATGTCTCTGGCCTGGCAGACTCTGAGGTGCGGGGTCTGGCTTTCGCTGGCCCCAGGGCCCACTACGTATCACCCTGGCTAATTCACCTAAACTCTGCACCTCAGGGTCACCCATATGTGAACAGAGACCAGCACTGCCTCAAGTGTGTATCTGTCAAAGGTCCAGACATGAGACACACAGATCACCCATAAACGCATTAACTTTCATGCTTCACAGATGCGCGACGCGAGCCACCGCATTTTCCAACCACCCCCTCCTCCTTTTGTATAAACTAGCAATTCATCAAACAGGAAATGTCCTGCACATAAGCTTCCTTTTCAGGGAGGCCTGGCGCGGCTGTTTTCCCTTTTAATTATTTTTCATACTATATGACTGCCCGGTTGGGAGCAGGGAAGACGGGCTGCGCTGTCCACCAGGAGGGTGCTGACCAGCTCTGAACGGGGTGGAGACTCCCCCCAGGTCCTCACTCTACTGCCTCTCCCACAGCCCCAAAGAACCAGTGACCCACAAACCGCAGCTGACCCACAAATGGCCACTGTCTTCCTCCCTCATAGAGCTTCCTATGTGCTGCAGACGAGTCTCCAGGCGGGAAAGGGCGAGGGTATATCCAGCCTCACTCTCCTGACTTCAAGAAAAGAGTTAAGTTATTTGTGTGTGCCCGGCTCTGTTCTTGGTCCTGCAGCAACATCAAGCATCTCAATGCAAAAAGAAGCCTGTGGGAAGCTCTGAGTCCACCATCCTCCCTGGAATAGTGTTTAGTTGGGCAGTGGAAAGTCTGAGTTGTTTTTGTGGTTTTGTCTTTTGTTTGTTTGTTTGTTTTTTGCTTTTTGGGTCACACCCGGCAATGCACAGGGGTTACTCCTGGCTCTGCGCTCAGGAATTACCCCTGGCTGTGCTCGGGAGAACATATGGGTTCAGGAATCAAACCCGGGTCAGTCATGTGCAAGGCAAACGCCCTACACGCTGTGCTATCTCTCCAGTCCCTTTGTTTTTGTTTTTGCTTTAGCTTTTAAACCCAGCAATGCACAGGGGTTACTCCTGGCTCATGCATGCAGGAATTACTCCTGGCGGTGCTCCGGGGACCATTATGGGATGCTGGGAATCGAACCTGGGTTGGCTGCGTACAAGGCAAATGCCCTACCCGCTGTGCTATTGCTCCAGCCTTGAAAGCCTGAGTTTTCGCATCAGCCAGGTCTAGAATCACCATCCCAGGGGGCCGTGTGCTGAGTAAACAGGACATCAGCGGCTGCCTGCAGGTCCTCCAAGTTACCATCCCCAGCTGGCCCTCAGCCTTCACTTCTGCAAATCCTCGCCCCAAACCCCGTCCTCCATCCAGCCTTTGAGAATCGGGGATCAAAGGAGCTGCACAGGCGCACTGAGGTGCTGGCCATGCTGTGCAGTGAGTCGGGTGGGGGGGGGGCTCCTCCGGCCCTTGGGTCCCCCTGCTCACAAATGCACGTCACATCATGTCCCCACGTCATCAGGACATGTCAAATGTCAAATGTCAAATGTCCTCAAACAGGCTGCACCATGATTTGCTGTTGAAATTTAAAAAAAGACCAGGACACTGCAGCTGGTTGTGGGTGGGACCAGGGGGGTGGGTGGGGGGAGACGCAGGTGTCACCTGTGGGAAGATGACCCGAACCTCAGGGACCTGGGCGCCCATGTGGATGAGACTGTCTGGGACACCCCACAAAGAAACACGCTCAGGAGGCTGGTGTGAGCTGGCGGGGAGATTCCTGGGCACGGGGTCCCCTCACCCCACTCTGCATGATGCAGCAACACTCTGACCATCAAATCTACACGACCCCCCAGTGCCAGCAGTACAAGAGACCCCAAACCAGCCGCCAGCATGGGGGGACAACAAGGAACCTGAAGGGTCCCTGCGATGAAAGGAAGAAATTATAAGACGCCCTTAATTCATTTCACAGACATTTTTCCCTCTTATGTGGGCACAAGAGTGATGTGATTAAAAACTTGAAATAAATCTCAACAAGCTCTTGCAGTAAGTGCTTAATAAAAAATCTAAGTGGCAAAAAGCACTTGTATCAAAGTTTAATTGGCATGGCTTTTTTTTTTTTTAGTTTTTAGGTCACACTCAACGATACTCAGGAATTACTCCTGGCAGGGCTCAGGGGACCATATGGATGCCGGGGATGAAACCCAAGTTGGCAGGTAAAAGGCAACTGCCCTACCCGCTGCACTACCGCGGCAGCCCCAAGCTTTTTCTTTTTTAAAGATACATAAAATAACTGTACAGGGGCTGGAGCGATAGCACAGCGGGTAGGGCGTTTGCCTTGCATGCGGCCAACCCGGGTTCGATTCCCAGCATCCCATAGGGCCCCCTGAGCACCTCCAGGGGTAATTCCCCAGCGCAGAGCCAGGAGAAACCCCTGTGCATTGCCGGGTGTGACTCAAAAAGCAAAAAAATAAATAAAAATAAAATAACTGTACAGCTGACCATCAAGAGCCTGGGTTCAATACAACAGCTCACACTTGGGAATCACACGGTCTAGGATAAAGGGTAAGCAAGTGGTTTCTGATGTTTTATGAACATCAAGCAAAAAAGGTGAAGAGAACCCTGCAGCAGAGTGGACACTAGGCAGAAGAGGCAGTGAACAGCAGAGACCCGGCCCTGGCTGCCCACTCCTGCTCACACCCCCGTGTCCCCCTGTGTCCCAGTCGGGCGGCTGCTCCGGCATTTCCCCTAGGAGGAAGTAACCGAAGGGGGTCGATGGTTCGCAGCCTCGGTCTGGGCTACCTGAATGTCCCTCAGCCCAGATAATGAGCAAGTGGACGCTACAAGTCATGCTGAAAACGGGCTCCATTGCGCCAGGAAGCAGAATGAACCCCAGGCAGTGGGGGATATGCCAGAGAAACAAGAATCTTCTCTGAGCACATAAGCCAGCAGGGACACCAGGCTTTCGGCCAACTCAGAGAGTGGGAACAACAAGACTCTGACTAGGTTTCAGACAGTGTATACATAAATTGGTTTTGCTTCTGCTTCTGCTTTTGGGGGCACACCGGGCGGTGCTCAGGGCTCACTCCGGGCTGCTCGCGGGGGCCACTGGCAGGTAGGTGCCATGACTTTCAATACTGCTCGGGGCTGAGTTTCCACCCAACATTCCCCATGAGTGTCCCTGTCCCCACCCACCCCT